CAGTAACCTACTGAAACCAGTAACCTGCTGAAACCAGTAACCTGTTGAAACCAGTAACCTACTGAAACCAGTAACCTACTGAAACCAGTAACCTACTGAAACAGTAACCTACTGAAACCAGTAACCTGAAAACCAGTAACCTACTGAAAACAAACTACTGAAAAACCTAAAAGTAACTTAAAACTAAAAAACCTAAAACCATAACTGAAACCATAACCTGTTGAAACGAAACCAGTAACCTGTTGAAACCAGTAACCTGCTGAAACCAGTAAGCTACTGAAACCAGTAACCTGCTGAAACCAGTAACCTATGAAACCAGTAACCTGCTGAAACCAGTAACCTACTGAAACCAGTAACCTGCTGAAACCAGTAACCTCCTGAAACCAGTAACCTACTGAAACCAGTAACCTGTTGAAACCAGTAAGCTACTGAAACCAGTAACCTGCTGAAACCAGTAACCTATTGAAACCAGTAACCTGCTGAAACCAGTAACCTCCTGAAACCAGTAACCTACTGAAACCAGTAAACTGCTGAAACCAGTAACCTACTGAAACCAGTAACCTGTTGAAACCAGTAAGCTACTGAAACCAGTAACCTGTTGAAACCAGTAAGCTACTGAAACCAGTAACCTGCTGAAACCAGTAACCTACTGAAACCAGTAACCTGCTGAAACCAGTAACCTACTGAAACCAGTAACCTGCTGAAACCAGTAACCTACTGAAAACAGTAACCTACTGAAACCAGTAACCTGTTGAAACCAGTGACCTGCTGAAACCAGTAACCTACTGAAACCAGTAACCTACTGAAACCAGTAACCTGCTGAAACCAGTAACCTGTTGAAACCAGTAACCTACTGAAACCAGTAACCTACTGAAACCAGTAACCTCCTGAAACCAGTAACCTACTGAAACCAGTAACCTGCTGAAACCAGTAACCTACTGAAACCAGTAACCTACTGAAACCAGTAACCTGTTGAAACCAGTAACCTGCTGAAACCAGTAACCTACTGAAACCAGTAACCTACTGAAACCAACCTGCTGAAACCAGTAACCTGTTGAAACCAGTAACCTGCTGAAACCAGTAAGCTACTGAAACCAGTAACCTGCTGAAACCAGTAACCTATTGAAACCAGTAACCTGCTGAAACCAGTAACCTCCTGAAACCAGTAACCTGCTGAAACCAGTAACCTATTGAAACCAGTAACCTGCTGAAACCAGTAACCTACTGAAACCAGTAACCTGCTGAAACCAGTAACCTCCTGAAACCAGTAACCTACTGAAACCAGTAACCTGTTGAAACCAGTAAGCTACTGAAACCAGTAACCTGCTGAAACCAGTAACCTGCTGAAACCAGTAACCTATTGAAACCAGTAACCTGCTGAAACCAGTAACCTCCTGAAACCAGTAACCTACTGAAACCAGTAAACTGCTGAAACCAGTAACCTACTGAAACCAGTAACCTGTTGAAACCAGTAAGCTACTGAAACCAGTAACCTGTTGAAACCAGTAACTGAAACCAGTAACCTGCTGAAACCAGTAAGCTACTGATACCAGTAACCTGCTGAAACCAGTAACCTACTGAAACCAGTAACCTGCTGAAACCAGTAACCTACTGAAACCAGTAACCTGTGAAACCAGTAAGCTACTGAAACCAGTAACCTGCTGAAACCAGTAACCTACTGAAACCAGTAACCTGCTGAAACCAGTAACCTGCTGAAACCAGTAACCTATTGAAACCAGTAACCTGCTGAAACCAGTAACCTCCTGAAACCAGTAACCTGCTGAAACCAGTAACCTATTGAAACCAGTAACCTGCTGAAACCAGTAACCTACTGAAACCAGTAACCTCCTGAAACCAGTAACCTACTGAAACCAGTAACCTGTTGAAACCAGTAACCTACTGAAACCAGTAACCTGCTGAAACCAGTAACCTGCTGAAACCAGTAACCTATTGAAACCAGTAACCTGCTGAAACCAGTAACCTCCTGAAACCAGTAACCTACTGAAACCAGTAACCTGTTGAAACCAGTAAGCTACTGAAACCAGTAACCTTGAAACCAGTAAGCTACTGAAACCAGTAACCTGTTGAAACCAGTAAGCTACTGAAACCAGTAACCTGCTGAAACCAGTAAGCTACTGAAACCAGTAACCTGCTGAAACCAGTAAGCTACTGAAACCAGTAACCTGCTGAAACCAGTAAGCTACTGAAACCAGTAACCTGTGAAACCAGTAAGCTACTGAAACCAGTAACCTGTTGAATCCAGTAAGCTACTGAAACCAGTAACCTGCTGAAACCAGTAAGCTACTGAAACCAGTAACCTGCTGAAACCAGTAACCTACTGAAACCAGTAACCTGCTGAAACCAGTAACCTACTGAAACCAGTAACCTGTTGAAACCAGTAAACTACTGAAACCAGTAACCTGCTGAAACCAGTAACCTACTGAAACCAGTAACCTGCTGAAACCAGTAACCTATTGAAACCAGTAACCTATTGAAACCAGTAACCTACTGAAACCAGTAACCTGTTGAAACCAGTAACCTGCTGAAACCAGTAACCTACTGAAACCAGTAACCTGCTGAAACCAGTAACCTACTGAAACCAGTAACCTATTGAAACCAGTAACCTGCTGAAACCAGTAACCTATTGAAACCAGTAACTTATTGAAACCAGTAACCTACTGAAACCAGTAACCTGTTGAAACCAGTAACCTGCTGAAACCAGTAACCTACTGAAACCAGTAACCTACTGAAACCAGTAACCTGCTGAAACCAGTAACCTATTGAAACCAGTAACCTACTGAAACCAGTAACCTACTGAAACCAGTAACCTGTTGAAACCAGTAAGCTACTGAAACCAGTAACCTACTGAAACCAGTAACCTACTGAAACCAGTAACTTGAAACCAGTAAGCTACTGAAACCAGTAACCTGCTGAAACCAGTAACCTGTTGAAACCAGTAACCTACTGAAACCAGTAACCTACTGAAACCAGTAACCTATTGAAACCAGTAACCTGCTGAAACCAGTAACCTACTGAAACCAGTAACCTGCTGAAACCAGTAACCTGTTGAAACCAGTAACCTGCTGAAACCAGTAACCTACTGAAACCAGTAACCTACTGAAACCAGTAACCTGTTGAAACCAGTAAGCTACTGAAACCAGTAACCTGCTGAAACCAGTAACCTGCTGAAACCAGTAACCTATTGAAACCAGTAACCTGCTGAAACCAGTAACCTCCTGAAACCAGTAACCTACTGAAACCAGTAAACTGCTGAAACCAGTAAGCGACTGAAACCAGTAACCTGCTGAAACCAGTAACCTACTGAAACCAGTAACCTGCTGAAACCAGTAACCTGCTGAAACCAGTAACCTCCTGAAACCAGTAACCTACTGAAACCAGTAACCTGCTGAAACCAGTAACCTACTGAAACCAGTAACCTGTTGAAACCAGTAACCTACTGAAACCAGTAACCTGCTGAAACCAGTAACCTATTGAAACCAGTAACCTATTGAAACCAGTAACCTACTGAAACCAGTAACCTACTGAAACCAGTAACCTATTGAAACCAGTAACCTGCTGAAACCAGTAACCTATTGAAACCAGTAACTTATTGAAACCAGTAACCTATTGAAACCAGTAACCTGTTGAAACCAGTAACCTATTGAAACCAGTAACCTGCTGAAACCAGTAACCTACTGAAACCAGTAACCTGCTGAAACCAGTAACCTACTGAAACCAGTAACCTACTGAAACCAGTAACTTATTGAAACCAGTAACCTGCTGAAACCAGTAACCTACTGAAACCAGTAACCTGCTGAAACCAGTAACCTGCTGAAACCAGTAACCTACTGAAACCAGTAACCTACTGAAACCAGTAACCTGCTGAAACCAGTAACCTACTGAAACCAGTAACCTGCTGAAACCAGTAACCTATTGAAACCAGTAACCTGCTGAAACCAGTAACCTACTGAAACCAGTAACCTGTTGAAACCAGTAACCTGCTGAAACCAGTAACCTACTGAAACCAGTAACCTGCTGAAACCAGTAACCTGTTGAAACCAGTAACCTACTGAAACCAGTAACCTGCTGAAACCAGTAACCTGCTGAAACCAGTAACCTACTGAAACCAGTAACCTGTTGAAACCAGTAACCTGCTGAAACCAGTAACCTGTTGAAACCAGTAACCTACTGAAACCAGTAACCTACTGAAACCAGTAACCTGCTGAAACCAGTAACCTACTGAAACCAGTAACCTACTGAAACCACTAACCTGCTGAAACCAGTAACCTACTGAAACCAGTAACCTGTTGAAACCAGTAACCTACTGAAACCAGTAACCTACTGAAACCAGTAACCTGCTGAAACCAGTAACCTGCTGAAACCAGTAACCTACTGAAACTAGTAACCTGCTGAAACCAGTAACCTACTGAAACCAGTAACCTATTGAAACCATTAACCTGCTGAAACCAGTAACCTACTGAAACCAGTAACCTGCTGAAACCAGTAACCTGTTGAAACCAGTAACCTACTGAAACCAGTAACCTATTGAAACCAGTAACCTGCTGAAACCAGTAACCTACTGAAACCAGTAACCTATTGAAACCAGTAACCTGCTGAAACCAGTAACCTACTGAAACCAGTAACCTGCTGAAACCAGTAACCTGTTGAAACCAGTAACCTATTGAAACTTATTGAAACCAGTAACCTATTGAAACCAGTAACCTACTGAAACCAGTAACCTATTGAAACCAGTAACCTACTGAAACCAGTAACCTATTGAAACCAGTAACCTGCTGAAACCAGTAACCTGCTGAAACCAGTAACCTGCTGAAACCAGTAACCTACTGAAACCAGTAACCTGTTGAAACCAGTAACCTACTGAAACCAGTAACCTATTGAAACCAGTAACCTGCTGAAACCAGTAACCTATTGAACCACTAACCTACTGAAACCAATAACCTATTGAAACCAGTAACTACTGAAACCAGTAACCTGCTGAAACCAGTAACCTACTGAAACCAGTAACTTGTTGAAACCAGTAAGCTACTGAAACCAGTAACCTGCTGAAACCAGTAACCTGTTGAAACCAGTAACCTACTGAAACCAGTAACCTACTGAAACCAGTAACCTATTGAAACCAGTAACCTACTGAAACCAATAACCTATTGAAACCAGTAACCTGCTGAAACCAGTAACCTGTTGAAACCAGTAACCTACTGAAACCAGTAACCTATTGAAACCAGTAACCTGCTGAAACCAGTAACCTATTGAAACCAGTAACCTGCTGAAACCAGTAACCTACTGAAACCAGTAACCTGTTGAAACCAGTAACCTGCTGAAACCAGTAACCTGTTGAAACCAGTAACCTACTGAAACCAGTAACTGTTGAAACCAGTAACCTGTTGAAACCAGTAACCTACTGAAACCAGTAACCTGCTGAAACCAGTAACCTACTGAAACCAGTAACCTGCTGAAACCAGTAACCTGTTGAAACCAGTAACCTACTGAAACCACTAACCTGCTGAAACCAGTAACCTACTGAAACCAGTAACCTGTTGAAACCAGTAACCTACTGAAACCAGTAACCTACTGAAACCAGTAACCTGCTGAAACCAGTAACCTGCTGAAACCAGTAACCTACTGAAACCAGTAACCTGCTGAAACCAGTAACCTACTGAAACCAGTAACCTATTGAAACCATTAACCTGCTGAAACCAGTAACCTACTGAAACCAGTAACCTGCTGAAACCAGTAACCTGTTGAACCAGTAACCTACTGAAACCAGTAACCTATTGAAACCAGTAACCTGCTGAAACCAGTAACCTACTGAAACCAGTAACCTATTGAAACCAGTAACCTGTTGAAACCAGTAACCTACTGAAACCAGTAAACCTATTGAAACCAGTAACCTGCTGAAACCAGTAACCTGCTGAAACCAGTAACCTGTTGAAACCAGTAACCTATTGAAACTTATTGAAACCAGTAACCTATTGAAACCAGTAACCTACTGAAACCAGTAACCTATTGAAACCAGTAACCTACTGAAACCAGTAACCTATTGAAACCAGTAACCTGCTGAAACCAGTAACCTGCTGAAACCAGTAACCTGCTGAAACCAGTAACCTACTGAAACCAGTAACCTGTTGAAACCAGTAACCTACTGAAACCAGTAACCTATTGAAACCAGTAACCTGCTGAAACCAGTAACCTACTGAAACCAGTAACCTATTGAAACCACTAACCTACTGAAACCAATAACCTATTGAAACCAGTAAGCTACTGAAACCAGTAACCTGCTGAAACCAGTAACCTACTGAAACCAGTAACTTGTTGAAACCAGTAAGCTACTGAAACCAGTAACCTGCTGAAACCAGTAACCTGTTGAAACCAGTAACCTACTGAAACCAGTAACCTACTGAAACCAGTAACCTATTGAAACCAGTAACCTACTGAAACCAATAACCTATTGAAACCAGTAACCTGCTGAAACCAGTAACCTGTTGAAACCAGTAACCTACTGAAACCAGTAACCTATTGAAACCAGTAACCTGCTGAAACCAGTAACCTATTGAAACCAGTAACCTGCTGAAACCAGTAACCTACTGAAACCAGTAACCTGTTGAAACCAGTAACCTGCTGAAACCAGTAACAACCAGTAACCTACTGAAACCAGTAACCTGTTGAAACCAGTAACCTGCTGAAACCAGTAACCTACTGAAACCAGTAACCTGCTGAAACCAGTAACCTGTTGAAACCAGTAACCTGTTGAAACCAGTAACCTACTGAAACCAGTAACCTGCTCCCTGCATCAGGTTTTCTATCATTTCTGATAGAACTGATGGATATTGTATAGAAATGATCAACATGGTTTCATATCCAGTTCTGTGTCTTGGTGTTGTGAGGCGGATCTCAGCGGCTGCTGGGAGAACAACTGGATGTTGGTGCCGGACGGTTTGGGCTCTGCTGCTTTTGGGCTTACCTGGATTTATTCTACTGGTTTATGGTTCTGACCTATTTCCTCGGAGCGTAACGCTTCCCCTGCCATTCCTGAAGGTGGCGCCGGTGTTCCTCCGGAACCGGTCCACCAAAGTGCAGAGTGGGACCGGTCAGCAAGCTCCGCCCACAGCTGCTGCTGGCAGATCCAGGATTCTGGTTCTGACTGGACCCTGGTTCTGTCCTCCAGTCTGGACGGTCAGGAAGAGGCAGAGCTTTCTTGACTGGGAACCAGTAGCTGTTGGACTGTTTCCAGTTGAAACAAGAAGAAACCATCAAACTGGACCAAAAGGCGATTTCCACTGGCAAGTCTCTCTCTGACCGGTGACTGTGTGGTCCGGTTCTGATCAAAGCTCAGTTCTGATGGACTCAAATAAACCCAGATATTTAATTTTGTCTGGTAGAAATTCATTTCTGGGTTGGGGTTAAGCACAGCCCACATAAGGCTGTCGCAGGTTCGATTCCCGCCCTGTTGATCTTTGCCTCTCATCACCAGCTTTCAAATAAAGGAGCCAAAAACATTTCATTTCTGGCCCAAACATAAGCTCTTTTCCCTCTGAGCTGAGCAGAACCGACCCGGGGTTCTGGACTGGGTGTTCTTGGTCCGTTTTGAACACATAAGCTAAGCTAACTCAGTGCCTCCTGTCTGCTGTCCTTACTAACCTTTGACCTGTCCAGGTGAGTTGCGTCTCACCTGCTATGAAGTAATTTGGCTCCTAAAGCTGACGAGATGTTCACACTGAGATCGGCAGAACCAGCAGCCTGCACCTGCTGGTGAATCGGGTCCAGACTACGCGGTTCTGCTAGACCATCCGTGCAGCTGAGGTCCACTTACTGGATCCAGAGATCCTGCGGTGGTTCCGGTGGTCCGGACACTCGGTGTGAACAGCCTCTGCTGTGATCCTGAAGCTGTTTAATCAGCTGCTGTTTTGTCTCCTCGGCCGGCCGTCCCCGTCCTCCTGTCTGTCCGTGTCTCCGTCAGAAATCGCGGCGCTTCAAGACGAAGCGGGAAGGAGCGGAGTACAGCAGCCGGCCCACCAAGCTGGCCGGGAAGGTCATCATCCAGGAGATCTCCTGCCTGCTGCCTGTGCACAAGGCTCTGGGAGAGAGCTACATGTGAGTCCCTTCGTCCTCACATGTCCCCCAGAGACACTGTCCCCAGACCCGAACCAGCTGTCTCCATCCTCTGGATACAAAGCCAAGCGTCCGCCTCACAGAACCCCTGCAGGATGGGGGCATGCGGTTGCATCTGCTGAGCGACGGTCTGGATGAAAGACGAAGGCGTCATCGCGCCGTCCAACCTGAACATCTGTTTGTCTTCCTCAGTCTGAACATGAACGACATTCAGGAAACCTGTCAGAAGAACGCAGCAGCAGCACTTGCAGTGGGACGCAGAGACCTGGCCAAGGTGAGCGTGAATCCATCTCCTCCCAGGTTCTCAGAAGTTTTCACACGGCCTGAACGTCTCCAGTGTCCTGGTGGTCCACAACCTTCCCCCTCCCTGCCTGTGCTGTGCAGGTTTGGGCTCTGGCGTCCGCCGCCACCAGTCAGGACCTGAGTCCAGATTCTGACCCGGACACAGAGACGCCCTGGGCCAGACACCCGTTTGGGCGCCACCTGCTGGAGACGCTGTGAGTTTGCAGAAGGTGATCATATGTTGGTGTGGAGGAATGTAAACGCTGAGCTGTTTCTATTATAACCCATCAGTTGGATCACTACAGTCAGATGAGCGACGTCCAGACTCTGGCCATGCTCTGCAGCGTGTTCAGGGCTCAGGCTCCGCCCCCTGACTGCTACTCTCTGTACGGACACCCCGGCTCCCGCCTCCACTCCCGATATGTAAGTCAGCGTGTGGTTGGAGCGCCCCCTGCTGCTGAGCCTGGAGCAGATTCAGTGATGTTCCTTCTCTGTGTTCAGCCCAGCTACACCTCCAGCTCCGTGACATCCGGCTCCTGTTCCAGCACCTCCGACTCCATCACAGCCACCTGGACCACAGGTGAGCCTCCACAGCTCCCCCTACAGGCCACCCCAACCTCCACAGCTCCCCCTACAGGCCACCCCAACCTCCACAGCTCCCCTACAGGCCACCCCAACCTCCACAGCTCCCCCTACAGGCCACCCCAACCTCCACAGCTCCCCCTACAGGCCGCTCCAACCCTTTTTGTCTGTGTTTCAGTCAGAGACCCCGAGCATCCCGCCCCCTGGGGGGAGTCTTCTCCTGATGACTATCGCTATGGCAGCCAGAGCTACACAGACCCTCGGGAGCGAGAGCGGGAGCTGCACGACATGAACAAGAGGTGGGTTTGCTCCTCGGCTCTGAATCAAGGCTTCAGTCTTCCTTTGGACCGCTTAGCAGATCAGGTGTTGCATCATTTTCTGTGACCACAGGAGGCGATGGTGAGCAAGTACGTCTTGAAAACGTACTTCCATGTTACAGATTACGTCATAATCAGAGTGAATTTGGCTATTTGAGGGATACATATTATAAATACACCCAGATTGCAGTGCTAAGGTGATAGAAATGTTGGTTCTACAGGTGTCAGAGGTCAAAGATTATTCTGGCCAGAATAATTTGCGACCCGTGTGATGTCGGTTATTTGAGGGTTAAAAGTCAGACGTAACGGACAAAATGGCGGCAGAAACAACAGCCGAGGCTGAACACTGACGATGTGATCTCCGTCAGTGTTCAGCCTCAAGACGTAGTTGCACGCCAACGCCCCTCGCGGTCACAGCTGTTCCAGCCAGAGCTGTTGTTGCGGTGATGTCACTTCCTGTTCCTGCCAGGCTGCTGGACCCGGCCAACACGCTGCAGTTCGACGACTTCAAGAAGAGCTACGGTGAAATCCTGTACCGCTGGGGTCTGGGCGACAAGCGGGCCGACGTCCTCAAGTTCACGGCCGGCCCGCCAGAACCTCACAAAGGCATCGGTACGTTTCCTTCAGCGGTCCGGCCGGGTCGGGTTCTGGTTCTGACGGGTCCGTTTCCCTGCAGAGTTCGGGCTGTACTGCTGCCACTGCCGCAGCCAGGCGCGCGGACGCAGTGCGCCGTGTGCAAGCGGCTGACCTTCCAGTGCGCCGTGTGCCACGTCGCCGTGCGCGGCTCCTCCAACTTCTGCCTGAGCTGCGGCCACGGCGGCCATACCGGACACATGATGGACTGGTTCCGGCGCCAGGACGAGTGTCCGGCCGGCTGCGGCTGCCGCTGCCTGCTGCAGAGCACCTTCTGATGCCGCCGCCTGCTCAATAAAACCCACAAATATCTCAGCCGCTGTCGTCTCTACTTCCTGTTCATGTCGCTGCTGCTTTCAGATCTTTATTCCAAATATTTCACTGATCAGTTCCATAAAAAGAAACTAAGGAAGGCAGTCAGATTAGAATGTTCAATGTTTCCTGGTGATGGTAGATTTATTGGCCCAAATCAGAGAGAAAATAGACAAAGTTCAACCACAGCCAGTCTGCAGACTGACATAATCTGCACACTGACATAATCTGCAGACTGACAATCTCACTGAACAAAGCGGAAGCCGCTGCAATGAAGGAAACTCTGACCCAGAGCATCATCGTTTCCTGTTTCCAATCATGAGATGCTGCCATCTGATTGGTTGGGCAGCAGAGTGTTTCCTGCAGACCAATCACACGGACCGGTCCAGAGGGAGCCCCGCCCCCAATCCTGACAATGAATGCATATTTACCTTGTTGAAGGATTTTGTTTTTTTGTTTTTTCACTTCCACCTCAGATTAAAAAACTAACCAAAAATGATGCAATTTAGAAAAAAAATTCAAATTTAAACCTGAAAAGAACAGCAGGTCAAAGGTCAAATATCAGAGAGAAAGTGTTCACTGGGTCATGTGACACAGAATCTGTGATCAGAGGAGCGGTTCCATCCGAAGATCTCGTACGCAGCAAACGGGGGATGCTCACTCTGCTCCTGTTCCTGAGCTCATCAGGCGTCACTGCGCTCTCCACCAATCAGAGGAGACGGGCAGGGAGACAGCGGCGGCTGGAGGCGGGACGTGGGCGGAGCTTTGAGGCGGCAGAAGACGCAACTCGTCAGCAGGTCAGAGGTCAGCAGTCTGGACACCGGGAACGGCCTTCCACACTCTTCACACTGCAGAGAGCGAGAGCGTCGTCATGGCAACCAGAGAAGAGCATGTTCATCAACATGGTCGCCAGAACCGGGTCGCCAGAACCGGGTCGCCAGAACCGGGTCGCCAGAACCGGGTCGCCAGAACCGGGTCGCCAGAAAACGTCCACACCTTCAGGATCTGGACCCCGGTTCCCTCTCCGCTTTTGATCTGCATCACCTCGGGGATCTGCTCCACGTTCTGCACGTCCCACAGCCGGACGCTGCCGTCCTGCACGTCAAAGGTCAAAGGTTAACGCGCAGCCAAGCCGGAGGACGGCCTGAAGCACAGCTGTCAAACTCCAGTCCTGCAGGTTTTAGATGAGCCGCATGTACAAAAACACTGGAATGAAACGGCTTCATCACCTCCTCCAGTGTGGATCAGATCTCCACAGCCTATGACCTCATTATTCTCAGGTGATGCAGAATAATGAGTCATAGGTCAGCAGTCTCATCTAAAGGCTCCTCTAAAGGTTGAAGGGCCTCCAGTGGCCCCCGGGACTGGAGTTTGACACCCTGCACTAAAGTATTTACACCCTTTCAGAAGAAGGGGCGCCACTGAGCGCAAACTCAAAGACATGCCACTTTTCAGATTGTTAAAAACCATGTTTCACTTCTCAGCTCTGCTCTGCCTCCTGCTGGTTAAAACAAATACTGCAGGCTGAGGAAATGTGAATACTTCCTAAAAGTCCAGTTTGTCTTTAAGAAACAGGAAGTCAACCTTGGAAGAAGACACAAGCAGCTTCCTGTCAGCGCTGAGAGACACGTCCGTCACCCAATCAGAGTGGCCCTGGAAGTAAACACACATCAGCTGATTAACAGAAATCAGCTGATCTTCGTCTCCTCGGGAAACAAGCGGAGGGTTCTCCTCACCCTCAGAACCAGAGTCCGGCGGAGCGAGGACGGATCCACAGCGCCACGGTCCGGTCGTAGGAGCCGGACACCAACATGTCACCTGAGGACACGAGGGAGACAGGAAGGACCAGAACCAGGTTAGCAGAACCGGGCTGGTCCGTCATCAACCGAATGGTTTTAGTGGGACGTTCCCGTGCAACTCAGTGTTTCTGAAAATCATGTTGGAGGCACAAAAACTGTTTCAGAAGGAGCTGCAGATTCCTCTGGATGCAGGATTTAGTCTGAACCTCACTGTCCCTGAACGCCTCACTGAAAGCCTCACTGTCCCTGAACGCCTCACTGAACGCCTCACTGTCCCCGAACGCCTCACTGTCCCCGAACGCCTCACTGTCCCTGAACGCCTCACTGAACGCCTCACCGTCCCTGAACGCCTCACTGAACGCCTCACCGTCCCTGAACGCCTCACTGTCCCTGAACGCCTCACTGAACGCCTCACCGTCCCTGAACGCCTCACTGTCCCTGAACGCCTCACTGTCCCTGAACGCCTCACTGTCCCTGAACGCCTCGCTGTCCCCGAACGCCTCGCCGTCCCTGAACGCCTCACCGTCCCCGAACGCCTCACTGTCCCCGAACGCCTCACTGTCCCCGAACGCCTCACTGTCCCTGAACGCCTCACTGAACGCCTCACCGTCCCTGAACGCCTCACTGAACGCCTCACCGTCCCTGAACGCCTCACTGTCCCTGAACGCCTCACTGAACGCCTCACCGTCCCTGAACGCCTCACTGTCCCTGAACGCCTCACTGTCCCTGAACGCCTCACTGTTCCTGAACGCCTCGCTGTCCCGAACGCCTCGCCGTCCCTGAACGCCTCACCGTCCCCGAACGCCTCACTGTCCCTGAACGCCTCACTGAACGCCTCACCGTCCCTGAACGCCTCACTGAACGCCTCACCGTCCCTGAACGCCTCACTGTCCCTGAACGCCTCACTGAACGCCTCACCGTCCCTGAACGCCTCACCGTCCCTGAACGCCTCACTGTCCCTGAACGCCTCACTGTCCCTGAACGCCTCACTGAACGCCTCACCGTCCCTGAACGCCTCACTGTCCCTGAACGCCTCACTGTCCCTGAACGCCTCACTGTCCCTGAACGCCTCGCTGTCCCCGAACGCCTCGCCGTCCCTGAACGCCTCACCGTCCCGAACGCCTCACTGTCCCTGAACGCCTCACTGAACGGCTCACCGTCCCTGAACGCCTCACTGTCCCTGAACGCCTCACTGAACGCCTCACCGTCCCTGAACGCCTCACTGTCCCTGAACGCCTCACTGTCCCTGAACGCCTCACTGTCCCTGAACGCCTCACTGTCCCCGAACGCCTCGCCGTCCCTGAACGCCTCACCGTCAGCCGACAGCACGCAGCAGCTCACGCTGCCCTCATGGCCGCGCTCCAGCACGGCGCCACCTTGAGACCGGAATTCTCCCCCCTGCAGGTCCCAGAGCTTCAGCGTCCTATCCCATGATGCCGTGCACAGGAAGTGCCCGTTGCCGTTGAAGCAGCAGCTGGAAATCACGTTGCTATGGTTACTGAGGGAGAGAGCAAACAGATGATGAGACCTGGGGGTACTTTCTATCGCCATGGAAACCGTTGTCATTCTGCGAGGTTGTCCCTGTTGTTCCTCTCCACTGTCACCACATGCTTGTTCAGGATGAGTCAATGATAGAACTTTCTACTGAACAGGACCTGAGAGGTTCTGATGGAGAGAACGGACAACAGCGCCCCCTGGAGCACAGAGAGCTGCGCCGCGCCAACCTGCTGATGGACATGGTCGTCCTCTTAGCCTGAGCGTCCCACAGCTTGACGGTCCGGTCTGCGGACACCGACGCCACCCGCTGGTCCACAGGGTCGAAGCGGACCCGTGTGATGGTGGAGCGGTGGTGGTCTGCGGGGGGACAAGAGCGGCACGTGAACGTCTCACAGGGACGGGCGGAGTCCGGTGCGCCGAGACGCCGTCCTACTGTTGATGCGATGCAACATCTGGCCACCGGAGGTGCTGCAGATGAAGACAATTTCCTGAGGCTCGGCGGCGCAGGCCAGCAGCCGGCCGTCAGACGAGCAGCTGCAGGACGTCAGCAGGCCGTCCAACTGCGTCTCCCACTGGACAGACAGAGCGGAGACGGTCAGCAGGCCGTCCTCCCCGCAGGGGGCGGGAGGAGGACAGCAGGTACCAGGACACGTCCTGTCTCCAGGTCCCAGGCCACCATCTTCCTGTCCCAGGACACCGTCACCATCCTGACACACACACAGAGACACACAGAGACACACACAGAGACACACACACACACAGAGACACACAGAGACACACAGAGACACACACACACAGAGACACACACAGAGACACACACAGAGACACACACAGAGACACACAGAGAGACACACAGAGACACACAGAGACACACAGAGACACACACACAGAGACACACACACACAGAGACACACAGAGACACAAAGAGACACACACACAGAGACACACAGAGACACACAGAGACACAAAGAGACACACACACAGAGACACACAGAGACACACAGAGACACAAAGAGACACACAGAGACACACACACACAGAGACACACAGAGACACACAGAGACACACACAGAGACACACACACACAGAGACACACACACAGAGACACACAGAGACACACACACACAGAGACACACAGAGACACACACACAGAGACACACAGAGACACAGAGACACACACAGACACAGAGACACACACACAGAGACACACACAGAGACACACACACAGAGACACACACACAGAGACACACACAGAGACACACACACACAGAGACACACAGAGACACACAGAGACACACAGAGACACACACACAGAGACACACAGAGACACACACAGAGACACACACACACAGAGACACACAGAGACACACACAGAGACACACACACACAGAGACACACAGAGACACACAGAGACACACAGAGACACACACACAGAGACACACACACAGAGACACACACACAGAGACACACAGAGACACACACACAGAGACACACACACAGAGACACACAGAGACACACACACAGAGACACACACACAGAGACACACAGAGACACACAGAGACACACACACACAGAGACACACAGAGACACACAGAGACACACACACAGAGACACACACACAGAGACACACAGAGACACAAAGAGACACACACACAGAGACACACAGAGACACACAGAGACACACAGAGACACACACACACCTTAAGG